GCTTTACTTCAGGCCTTTATCACCTCTTGTCTGGACCATCATAGTGGCTCCCAATAGGTCTCCTGGCCCTGGCCTTATCCCCAAAGATACATCCCCCACGCTGGTGCCAGGGACATTTTATCAAAGTGTGAATCAGATCCTTCCTCAGCTTCCCATTGCCTGCACGTTAAAGCCCAACTCCTTCCCAGTTCTGTAAACTGGTCCTTTCCTCTTCTCCAGCTTATTCTGTTCCTGAGTCCAGTCCCTGCCTGCCTTTCTCCAGGTACACACATGCTGATGTGTCAGGCTGTTATGGATCCTAGAATGGTCCCCCTCCTCTCATTTACTCCTCAATTCTGCCCTACTTGTGAACTCCTATTCATCTTTAGGTTCCCAACCCAGGGCCACCTCTTCTATGAAGCCCTCCCTGATTCCCTTCCCCGCCCACCACTATTCACCAGATAAGAGTTGACCACTCCCTCTTATACCACCCCACTGCACCCTTCCTCAGACTTCTAAATAACCCATACTAGGAAAAAATTACACACATTTTGGTATAGCCATCCCACGGAATATTATGTAACCATTAAAAAGAGTGACATGGGAAGATGATTAATGGTAAAGTGGAAAAACCTAGATACAAGTTGTATATATCAACTAAATGTATCTACGTGGGGAAAAGACTATAAGAAAACCTGTAAAATATAATAGTGGTTTTTCTCTGTAATGGGAGTGTGAATGGTGTTTATTTTTTTATGAATCTAGTTTTTAACTGGGTAGGGGTTGTCATAACTAGAAAAGGTATTCAAAACTCTCTTACTAGAAATAGAAAACCGTGTGAAGTTGTAAAGCCAGTTTCTGATGCATTCCTGTGGCTGTTTCTCTTCTTCCTATGGCAGGTTTTATGGCCGGAAGATGGTGCATATCTTGATGTCGAACACAAAGTTTGACGATTTTCTGACGCAGTCCCTCCCATCCCACGACCTGCGGAAGGTCATGGCGGCCATTAAACAGCGGGTCAGTTGGTGGGTATGACGGGTCATGGGTGCGAGACCAGAGCTGAGCCTGGCAGCCCTCCTGCTGGTCAGGGGGAGGGGACTGCATCCCAGAGGCTTTTATTTCACCCATGACTCTTGCCAGGCGAGGTCAATGTGATTCCTTGCCCTTTGCTCAGCCTGGTTCTGCCCCTCACTGCCTGTGTCCCTTGAGCCTCCCTGGGTCTCCACGTCTCCATCTGTGAAATGGGGATCTTGACCCCCATTACTTGGCCCTGACTCCCAGCACTCTGGAAGGCTCAGCTGCACCCCGGGAGGCCCTCCCAGGTGGAGAGGTGATGGTCTAGGCTGGATTGTCTGGTACTTCCCCAGAGACTACTCCTTTCGGTTCAAGTTCTGTATTTTTCAAGGGACTAGAAGACAGTGATGAACTGCCATCTGCCAAAGGCCACAAGGTGTCGAGGAGTCTGGCGGTGTGTGAGAATGGGCTGCCCAGTGAGGACGGGTATGGCCACCCTTCTCTCTGGGGCTCCACTTCCAAGACTGCCTGCGGAGGTGGCCGGGGTGGCTCTGGGAGAGAGTGTGGACCTGGGACAGCTGAGACCTGGCTGGGCCCGCAGCACCAGGGGAAGAATTTATAGGATGTGTTCCCCACCCAAGTCTCGGGGAGACCAAGTCCTGGGCCCAGGAGCCCCTGCCAGTGGAAGTGGGTTCCCGCACGCTTGGCCGAGGGGATGCGATTCCACGAGTGTAGGTGGGATGTGTTGTCCGACAGGCTACCCGTGTGAACTCAGCGTTTCTCCATTCACTTATCAGAGTGGCCGGCTTGGGATTAGTTTAGAGGCAGAGCTGGGACAAAGACAGATGAGAAGGAATGGGCTGGGGTGATACAGGGTGGCTGCTAGGGGGAGTTAGAAACCAAGCAGGAATCCAAAGGTCACTCCTGTGCCTAAAACCTAAACTCCTGGGAGGACACACCTGAAACCTTTAGCAGGGACCTCAGGGAAGCCCCGTCCATCTCCCCAAGAGTAACATCCCGCTCTCCCTTCCACTTGTGCTCTCAGCCGGGCCAGAGAAGCCCGTGTTCCCTGCCCCTCCACGTCCTCTCCGCCTGCTGTGCCTTTCCTTCTGCTGGTTCCTTGCCTTCTGCTGGGCCATCTCCACTCAGAACATTCCTGTTTCTTCTACAAGATCCCACGAGCTTCAGCTCACCTGCCACCCTCTCCCAGAAGCTCTCTGACACTCTGTGCCCCCATGTCCTCTGGGTGGACAGGTCACCCCATTCTCCAGTCCTCTGTCAGCCCATTGGCTTAGCTGCCCTGTCCCCCATTGGCCTGTGAGCCCTTAGGGCCAGGCTGCTTCTCTCATCTCCTTGATCTCAGTGCTCAGCACAGGTCCTGGCACTCAGCAGGCGGAGCGTGGAGTGTAGGAATGAATGAGTGATGTCGGGCTCTGTCTGGTGGGACTCGGTGTTAGGCATGAGCTCAAAGAGCCAGGCTCTGAGCTGGGGTGAGGCTAGGAGTTTTGTATGGAGCTGCTCCCACGCTGGCTGGACCGGGCCAGGGGGCATGGTGGGCATGCAATCCCAACCTAGGAGAACAGGGCTTCCGAACATTTCGCTAGTTACCCGACTGTGAGCAGCACCCAGACAACTAGGGGTCAGGGTTCAGGCACCTTAAGGTCCTCCCCACTCTAAGACGAGATGTGCCCCACTTAGGCTTTTGTGGATTTCCACCCCTCTCTCCAAGCTTTCTCCTCCATTCTTCCCCTGTCCTCTGAAAAGAAAGAAAGGCAGGAAGACAGAGCCCTGCCCCTGGGGCTCTAGGGAACTATATAATTGTCCCCCAAGGAAGAGGGATTGCCCGAGTTCCCGAGCCCCACCTGTCTGTGGGAGGGGGGACGGGATAAGGTGTGTCCAGTCCCTGGGCTGCCCAGATCAGATGCTCCTTCCACTTAGGCTCAGCTCCGATGGCCCGAAGCTGGCCGGGCTGCGCTCCTCTAGGCGGGGTGGCTCAGAGATGGAGCAGCTGCGAGAGCTGACGCGGCTGCTGGAGGCCAAGGACTACCGGTCTCGGATGGAAGGCGTGGGGCAGCTCCTCGGGCACTGCCAGGCCAAGCCAGAGCTCATCACCGCCAACCTGGTCCAGGTGAGCGCGGCCCCACCCCTGCCCTCCCACCTGCCTCTCCCCGTGGGTACAGCTTCAGTCTGGAAAACTCTGAACAGGCTTAGATGTTGTGCCAGACCCCTCGTGGTAAAGGGAGCCCAGCAAGCATTTGGTATCTTGTTGCCTTGGTAACACTCTAAGACTGCTTGGAAGTGGCTGAAGGGGCGAGGGCACTGCCTCCTACTGGGCACCTTGGCACTGCTCAGGGGTGTCCTGGTCATCTCTTAGCCCTCTCGGAGGTTTATGGGGAGGAGGGCAGGAGTGAAGGATGCCACGGCCAAGGGCCACTGCTGGTCTAGCTATGTGCCTGGTGTTTCGGGGGCAGAGCATGTAGTTGGCCAGGCGAGAGGGCCAGGATGGGTGGGGAGTGGGCACAGGCCTTTCACAGGCTGGAAAACAGAACATCTTGCTTCTTCCAGGAGCAAGGCTGCTGAGTCAAGACACAGAGCAGAGTGGTGAAAACAGGCATGAAGGCAGCAGACCTCGGTTTCCACTCAAGTTTCTTACTAGCTGTGTGATCTGGGCAAGAGATTTAACTTCTTTCAGCCTCAGTTTCTGTTTTGTTTTTAATGGCAAAGTGAGAATGGGGACACAGGCTTCATGGGTTGTTCGGATCATTCCAGGAAAGAGAGTGCAGAGTGCCTAACAAGATGCTCTCCAACCGGGCACACGGAGTGCTCAGCATGTGGTCCTTCCCTCCTGCCCCCCCCCTTGAGGAGGCGAACTCCTAACCACTGAGAAGGTTCTGGCCTAGGTTGGATGGCCCCTGTCAGGGATGCCTCCTGCTGAGGTGGTTGGTTGGTCTGTGGGACCCCTGCCCAGCCCGGGTTCCCATGGGCTCTTGGTTTCTGTTCCTTCAATAGGTCTTTGATGCTTTCACCCCAAGGCTTCAGGATTCCAACAAGAAAGTGAACCAGTGGGCCCTGGAGTCCCTCACCCAGATGATTCCCCTCCTCAGGGAGCGCTTATACCCCATGGTGTTCTCCCTCACCATCGCCGTCGCAGACAACCTCAACTCCAAGAACGCAGGGATTTATGCTGCTGCTGGGTCTGCAATGGATGCGATGATTCAGAACCTGGGTGAGCCTCCTGCCATCCCCCTGCTCGGCTCTCGTGGGCAGCTGGCTCCCTCCCTAGTGCCGCCCTGGGCTGGGCCCATCGTTCCTGCTTGGGAATCAGCAGAAGGGTGAAAGGCACTGGTTCAGCACTTCCCCAGAGGCTGTGTAGGGCAGGGGTGGGCAGCCCAGGGCCTCCGAGGTTCTCAGTTGGTAGCTCTTCCATGTCATATCCACCTGCGTGTCTTAGATGGTGAGAAGTAGAGGAGATGTGGAGATGATGTAGTCTTGCCTCCTTTAGTACACGAGACATAAATGACTCACCCAGGGTCACCCAGCACCACAGTGAGTGAACCAACAGGGTATGGAAGGAAAAACAGGTCAGGATTGCCAGGAAGGAGTTGGGAAAAGTGCCGGAGCCTGCCGGCAGTCGAACGGGAACCTGATTGAGGGGGTGAGGATTGGAAAAGAAAGACAAGAGACAGGATGGGATCGGGAGGGCTGCAGCTCATTCCTGTTGCCAGCTGCCAGCGGATAGCTTGCTCCACCCTCCCAAGGGCTACACGTCCCTCCGGGGTCAGCTGTCTAGCGGATGCAGGATCTGCATCCCCCTTGAGAATGTCAAACAATGGTTTGAGCTCCCCTGTAGTTAACCCCAGATAAGGTCTAATCCAGTTGATATCCCCCAGCAACTTTTGAAAATCATTCAAGGTCTGGAGCTTGTCTAGCCGAAGGTGAACTTTCTGACAGAAAAATCGGTCAGGCTCCAGATGAAAACCAAGATAAGAAAACGGGGGCTGCCTCTGGACCTTTTCTGGGGCTACGACCAGGCCTTGTTTTTGCAAGTCAGATTCCATTTTCGCAAATGCCCGGAGGAGCAGTCCCTCATGGTGAGCGGCAATGAGGATGTCATCCATGTAGTGACAGACGTACACTGCTGGGTACTCACGCCTTACCCGAGCTAGGGCCGTTGCCACAAATTTTTGACACAGGGTCGGGCTATTGGCCATTCCCTGAGGCAGCACTTTCCAGTGATATCGCTGCATAGGCTCCTGAAAATTTACTGATGGTACGCTAAAGGCAAACCGTGGACAGTCCCGGGGATCAAGGGGAATAGTATAAAAACAGTCTTTCAGGTCAATAATAATCTTATATGTATCACGGGGTATGGCCGCAGGTGAAGGCAAGCCTGGCTGGAGGGCCCCCATGAGCTCCATGGTCTCATTCACCTTCCTAAGATCCTGGAGTAATCTCCATTTCCCTGACTTCTTCTTGATCACAAATATAGGTGAATTCCAGGGAGAATTAGACGGCTCAATGTGGCCCTGTTGGAGCTGCTCCTGCACCAGCTCCTGGGCAGCCTTTATTTTTTCAGTAGTCAGGGGCCATTGATCTACCCATACAGGAAGATCTGACTTCCAGGT